AGAAACGAGCCAGATGTCGGTCATGTGAAGTCGTTTCGCTAATATAAAAACCCTGTTAGGTAAACTTTCGATGCTTGAAGTTCAGATAAGCCGCCTAAAAACTTAGCAATTGCCATATCGAAGTGTGCCTGTGAATCATACAGTGTTTACAATTGAAACTGTTCAATTTTACAACCAGCTGCACCTACATAGCCTACCAAACTATGCACGACTATCAACGAAAACACTAGATCTGTGAACATATTATATTACATTTAGCAGCTTAGATTTACATTAACAACTCATTCCAGTTAAGCATCAAAGTAAGGGATAAAAATCATTTTTTGCTAGATAGAGTGATAGAGTCTTCCTTGGAATAAGGAAACGATACTCCTTAAACATAAGTTCCAATTTAAAACTAATTAGAAAGGCAGGAAATTCAGGTGAAAGTCTGAAGCTCGAATATTAACTGCTCGAAGAAACTTGCTTACGAATTTAGTTTTCTAACATAAGTAAAATCACAAGTCAAAGATTCGCAACTCTGACAGACCCAGCAGAACAGGCAAAACAAGCCCAAACAAAACAGATACAAGGAAGTAAATTGGCCTACGTAAAAAATGCCACTGCATTAAAAAGCTTTACTGATACTGTAACATGGGTGAAAATATTGACTAAACATAAAACTTTGCAGTACGCCTTAGAAGTCAGAACTGAGCCTATCTGGCTGAAGGTAGTTGGACCTGAAACAGTCATCCTGAAACAGCTGTCGGAGCGACGCGGAAGGAGTAAGAAACAACAAAAATGGACGAATCTTGATAGGGTATTTTATTCTGTAATTCTTCCGCAAAACCACAGACCCAGACTCATTAACGCAAGAGTTACTGTCCGCAAAACCATTACGGAAGTCGGATTTAACAGCAGTATATTATCTTCATCTTCTTTATTCAAGGCCGAGGGTTGCGGATATTAACAGGTTTAAAAAATTATTTTGTTAATTTCATCTACAGCATAAGCGCACCAATTAGGTTTAAATGTGTAATTATTTGTGTACAGTAATACAGTGATATGAGAAGTATGAGAAAATAGAAAAATAACAGCTTGTTCAATTTGGGTGTTCAATCTTTGTGGAGAAAGAGGCAGGTCTCATCATATGGTCCTTTACATAAGCGGCATACTCCACAATTCTATTCACTGTTGACAGTGTGACAGCAAAATCAGGTCATTTTGCTATTAAGCTTTGTCCACGATCGTATTTATTTGATTCTCATTTTCATCCTTTGATGAATTTAGTGCTTCTTTTATGCATGGGTTCACTTTTTATCCTTCTGTTCCCTTTTCCAGTCTCGTACTCTGCATTGTACTCTGTCACGCAAAACAAACGCGAAGCATTACTGAAGTGTATGAATACAAATGGAAAGCATGTTCGTGTTCAGTAGTAAACAAAGCTTGACTGAGGAAGTTGCCCTCACGCCAACTTTAGATTGTCTGCCTTAGAGGAAGACTGCTGCTGGGTCGGTGCAAGTAATGTGGACGAGTTAAGTAAATTTTTTATAGTCCATAATTTTTTCCACTTTTCTATACGTACATATATATGTATGATATAAACAACAGTTATTATAAACGTACCTGCCTTAAATCCCAGCCTTCGTATTCGACAGTTCGCTGTGCATTGCCAACGATGGAACGAGATTGCGAGGACAGCGTTAATCAAAACGTAAATGAAAGTTCAAATCGAATGGGTTCGGAAAAGAGTCGCGTCACCTCAGACGGTACTCGACTGACACCGTCTGCTACTTCGTCGCGCGTCGCAATGATCACTGGCCTGAATTCTAGCACGTTAGGGTGTCTAAGATGCGACATGTGCATCAGATGATGTCTTGACGTCTAGAAACCGAGGTGACGACAACAGGGACGAACCGCGATGATAGAGCAAAAATCAGGTCGGCAGTCGATCGCCCGTCGTTCTCCACTTAACAACAGGTACTTGACGAAACTGGTAAACTTGTTTCGCACCTGTGTGCCGATTCCAAGCGACACAATGTGTTGCTGTCGTAAGTGACTTCGCTCGTGACAAAACGTGAATAACATGCAAATTTCATACAAATAAATATACAGGTTCCGGCAGGGTTACTTAACACTTGAACAAGAGGCACCATGCAGTGGCAACTACATATCGTAAATTCACCTTTTCAACTTCAGGTCTACCTTATATAAAGTTCGACAAGTCATTGTGGACTCAAGAGGTCACAAAAACAACATACAAATTATACAGTATAAGCAGAAGACAAAAGTGCTTAAAATTTAATATCGCGAACAGCTTAATGACATGACTGAAACATCGACCTCAACAAAGACGATTTGAAAGTACATTCCAATACAAACATTTTTAAGACGTAAAAACGTTAGGTAGTATCTCAAATGGCTTAATGCGTTTCTCCAGTGATACACGTTACTGTCCAAATGGGATTGTTCTGCGGACAGCTGATTGGTTGTTAAGACGAACGAATATTACTTACTTTAAATCTGAGGTCTCATTGATAAAAATTTCCAAAAAATCGTCATTGCCGTTTTCATTTTCACTGACAGCTACCAAAGCGAGAACCAGTTATATTGTTCCAGAAGATGAAAGTAAAAAATATTCATATCGGCTGGCGATATTTGTTCCCTCCTACATGTCACTGGAACTTTGAGGGATGGTTTTCTGCTGACACAAGGAATATATTCCTCATCGCAAGTATGTGCTATAAAGAAGTATCCTCTGGCGTGTGCCTGTGGCAAGGGGACAGATTTCATTAGAAAAGAGCCTTGAACATAATTTCATTTCTTCTTTGGGAAGTTTTATCAAACTACTTCAGGTTCACATCACTACTCGTACAGTATACTGCACATACTGTCTGTAAGTATCAACGGGCCCCTCACTGAGTCGCTCTGCTTCGGAATGTCAATCACGTATTCTAATGGCATTGTGCGCAACGACAACGGAATAACCATCATGTACCAAAACATCTATCACCGTCAACATAGTAAATAGCACCAGGTTAACGTAATCGGTTCCAAACTTTGGTTATGAAATGGAGGTGGCGATATTCAGAGGAGTCACTAAAAACAAAATTAGGCAAGATTTTTGGTACTGGTAATATTTACGACATAATCAATTGCATTTCCTGTCTTGAGTTCAATTGTAGTATAATTTGACTAATCAATCGTTGGCATGCCTTTAAGAATAAACCTTAAGCTACTTAAAGAAACGTGGCTGATGCTCAAGATTTTCGAACAAGTTTCAAGTTTCTAAACACCCTATGAATCAGACGCTATTTTGAAGTAGCATTTTCCTTCATGCAAGAAACGAAGAACGCAATGTACTGTTTATGTTTGTATTATCCTGTGCTTTTATATTTAGTCTTCGTTTTCTTATAAATTGGTCCGTGATTATCCGCTTACCATAGCGAATTAAGTCATCCCCCTACTTACTCCTGTACTTAAAATATATGACATCAAAGCAACCCATCAATGGAGCACTGTCTCTGGACACAAACATGACATCCC